GAACTTCGAGACAAGTCATGAGACCGTCAAACTGTAACTAGTATAAATATCCTAAGCACTAACGGATGTGTACCATGCTGATGTTCAACAGGAAAGATTTCCATAATGTGCCAAGGTGCACACTTAGATTATTGTACAGGAGTCAGTATTGAGTTTTTGAATTGCTCAAAAAAAGTCGGTTAAAATTCAAATAACCGTTATCCTTAAGGAATCAATGAAATCGACAAATTTTATCTTCTATCATCAAATGGAGTAACAGAACTCAAGTCTGTACAACCTATAATCTTAAATTTTTAGGTTTGTGGCAAATTTTACTAGTCATTGATATGTTGTATGTTACATACATTTTTCAAATGTTAAAGTCTTTGAAAATTTTTAAGTGATAGTGTAGAGATTTTTCATTCTTAGACAATTAAGAACCACAAGTTATCGTTTCCTGATGAAAATCCTCTTTCTTTATCCTCAGAGGTATCGAATTTTCCACCTCCTCAGAAGTGTTGCACTTTTATCTACCTCCTCAGAAGATTTTTTTTATATACCTCCTCGGAGGAATCACTTTTATCTACCTCCTCAGAGGAATCACTTTCATCGACCTCCACGGATGAATCGAATCCCCCTCCCCTTCTTATTTTTCTTCTTATTCGCATTTCAAGCTTATTGCTTAGTGCATATTAGCTTATTGCGTGCTCTCAACTTAGTGTTCTAAATGCACTTCCACAGTTATTAATTGAGAGCTTTCGATGCCTGTACCATTTTTGCATTAGTATAATTGTGTGGCAAGTACAATCATACTCTATATGCCCAGGGAAGTCGAGAAATTTTCCAACCCGAAAGATTCCCTCGACCGAACCGGGAATCGAACCCGCCGCCTCCGGCTTGGTAATACCGTGCCCTTGCTGACTAGGCTATAAGGCCTTCAAATTCCTCAGAATTGTGCGCCAGTACAATTTCTCAAAATTGAACCTTAGTTTATCATACATAGATTTGTTTTTTTTTCGTGAATGACGTGGGTGACATAACCTCTCTTTTTCACACTGTGCTGGCATTTTCTTTAAAGGTTCTTCCTTTAACACTTATGTAGAGATTTTTTCTTCTTAGACAATTAAGAACCACTCGTTATCGTTTCCAGATGAAAATCCACTTTCTTTATTTAGAACACTCTATCATCTCTCAGCGTTGGCATTAGTCTGGAGCGTTGAAGGACTTCAAATGTATTTCCTGGGGAAGCCATTTGATCTAATGACGGATTGCAAGGCATTGACGTACCTTTTTAACCCTCGTTCGAAACCGTGTGCGCGAGTAGAAAGATGGATTCTCCGACTTTAAGGGTTCCAGTATAACGTTAAGCATATATCAGGGGAACAGGACATAGTACACACTTAGTTTTTTCTACCGAGCTCGGCTGTGCAAATCTCGGCAAAATAAGTTTCACTGAGATCTCAGCAAAACTGACATTTGATTGCTGAGTCTCGGATAATGCTTAGCTGAATCTCAGCAAACAAATGAAATGTTTGCTGATATCTCAGTAAAACTTTTTTTGCCGAGATTTGCACAGCCGATCTCGGTAGAAAAATCTAAGTGTGTATATGCGGTTTCCAGGTTATCTACGCTGAGACCCGTGCCTTTCGATGTTGCAGAAGAACTATTCGTGAACGAAGTTGGACGCGCAGCTGCTCTCAACGGCAGCTATCCGTTGGGAAGAAATGGGCCGTGCGGCTGACCAGGACGAAGAAATATCAAAAAGTTTTTGAAGCTCTTAGCAGTGGCCGTTTATTTGAACTACCAATTGAATACCGCATCATAGGTCGAGAACTTGCGTTGGTAATGTGCTGATGAGAGGTTATGTTAAAGGAAGAACCTTTAAAGAAATATGTAGAGGTTTGTCCTTCTTAGACAACTAAGAACTACTCGTTATTGTTTCCAGATGCAAGGAAGACGAGCTGATGAATGGACAGTGGAGACGATCGAGTGCTCTAAATAAAGAAAGAGGATTTTCATCTGGAAACGATAACGAGTGGTTCTTAATTGTCTAAGAAGGAAAAATCTCTTCAGATTGAAATTTAGTGTGATTCATGTAGGATTTAAAAATTTTAGAGTTGTATTTTTTCATCTCATTGGGAAAGAAAATGATAGGAGTATGCGTTATTAAAACCCTACAACAGCGCAGCAAAAAGAAATGTTGGCTTTTTTCCCTATGTTGGGGACATAATACCACCGCGACCACCTGATCTATTGTGGTGTATCCTCTTTTTATGTATGCCATAACGTACTAGTGAGGCGAACCAGTCTCAGGCTGAAAGCCTCCTAAATAAAGATAAATCAATCAATCAATCAACGTACTGGTAAGCCACTATTGTTTGAGTAACTACCACTACTGTTGTAAGCAATTATATCAACCAGGTAATACATTCCTTATGAAATTTATTACCTGATTGAGAGCAGCAGCCCAGATTTCCCAAGATCTCATCAGACCCTTATCAAGATATCTGCATCGTTTGTGAAATAATGCAACACAGTCACACAGCAAATTTTCAGAGCTTTCACTCTTTAAGTTACAAAAGCGACATTTATTGTGATATTTACAAGGACAGTGTTTTATTATCAAACCAGCGTATGTACTCAATTTTTTTTAGAAAGATTAAGTAATTTTTGTGTATCCAAAGCGTTCGGCTTTGTAAAACGTTTAGATTGCCGAGAATTTAAGGTACTGGTCCAGTTGTACTGTACCTTTATTTTTTTCCCAGTTTTTTAGGCTCCATTTTTAAAGCACAAAAAAAAGTCCAAAAAATGGTTCAGGACCAATGAATTTCGAAGATGACCCTATTTTTGCCAATTGATCAGCTTTTTCGTTCCCTTCGATTCCACAATGACCAGGAACCCAATAAAGGTTAACCGTATTTCGACAGGACAGTTGCTGTAACAGTTTAGTACATTCCCATACCAGTTTTGATGTAGTTTTTGATTTCAAAGCATTCAGAGCCGCTTGATTATCATAGTTCCTTTTTATGTAAATCGTTGCACATTCTAAGATGGCATATATTTCAGCTTGAAATACTGTCAGCCATTTTCCCATGGGCACCGAGAAGTTAACCCCAGGGCCGGTAATACCAGCCCTGACCATATTATCTTGTTTCGATCCATCTGTATAGAAAATTACTGATCCAGGACTAATAATATTCAGTCTTTCTGCATCCCAGTCAACGCGAGTCACATCAGGAACTTGGAAATTGTGGTTGAAATAATTTCGCTTTAGCATACAATCTTCGTTCATCAATATTGATGGACTTATCTGAAACTCTTTTAGAATGCTCAAATTTCCAATAAGATCTCCATCGAAGAAATTCATGGACCGTTTGAGCACTTTTCACTGCATCTTCAGTTGAATAAATTAATGAGGAGGAAGAATATTGAGTAAAGCATCTAAGGCTGCAGAAGAAGTACTACGCATTGCTCCAGTTATGGAAATAGTACCAAGCCTTTGTAGCTTGTTTAATTTGACTTGTGCCGTTTGTTGCTTAGTTTTCGGCCACCATATAAGTGAGGCGTAGGTAATCCTGGGTTTAACTATGGACGAGTATACCCAGTGTATCATATTTGGCTTCAGACCCCATTTTTTCCAAACGTTCTTTTGCAGGTCCAAAAAGCATTTGTTGCTTTTCCTATAAGTTGATCAATATGTTTGTTCCTAAAAACCTACTTCTAAAGATAGTGACAGCTTTACGATTTAAGATCAGTGATAGAGGTTTTATGTCTTTTAGTAAAAGGTACAATAGTTGTTTTTTGTAGAATTGACATTCAATCCCTGATCTTTGTACCACGATATCGTGAATTTTAATGCTTTTTGCATTCTGTCGAAAACAACTTTATCGAATTTTCCACGGACTAAATAACAATGTCATCCGCAAACCCAATTATTTCGAATCCTATAGAAACTTTCACAATCTGGATTTGTTCAGTTTATTGTAAACGTATAGTTCTGTAAAACCCTATGAATTAAAATATTTGCATAATTTACTTCAAAAAATTCGGATATTATAAATATCTGAGCAATTTTTGTCTAAATGATACGAAACTAATCGAAATTTTCAATTTCCAGCAATAACAATCAGAAACAGCAAATATTGTATTCAACCGAGAGATCTGGCCCACAAAATCATTTTCCGTATGTTAAACTTTCAAAATTTTGTTGTTTTCTAGCTAAAACCCAAAAGTTTCGTGAACTTCAGTACAATCCCGTCGTAACCTTAGAAAATTAGATGAAAAAACCAATATAAATTTGTGCCATTAGACAATCCTATGAATTTTATGTTTTTTTTTTTCTGGTAACTCTATTAGAATCATTGGCACATAACTTTCATATGATTTTTCAAAGCGATATGTTCATTGGACATCCAATGAAATTTAACGGATTTTGCCAATGAATATTACATGTTATATAAGTTTTCTATGCCATAGATTTTAAGATTATTTCTGTTCTAGTTCTCGTATTGTGCTCGTATTTGTAGGGTAAGGTGGAGCAAGTTGGGTCATCTACTTGATGTATTTATATTTTTGTTTGCCAACGTCAATAGATTCCATGTTGCCCCAATGCTCGTTTAAAAAAGCAAACCATAATTGAGGTTGCATTAAACCCTTTGATATTGACCAACAAATAAATTAATAAATGTACTAGTACCGTACCGTGCCAGCACCATATTTTTTATCGTATCTCGATTTTGGCAAGATATTTTTACAAACATTGTTACACCATCATAGAGTACTGGAACTAATACTTGCGGAAGTAATTTTCATAAGCAATGATTGAAAATAGTCGAACATTATTGAGTGCGTTGGTTTCGGAACTGTTTCGAATATGGCGCCTCCACCATACCCTACATTGAAAATAATCCGGAATGTCTTTTTCAAACCAATACAAAACATTCTTCAAGTTTCATAACGTGCAATTCGGCGTCCAGGAAACTCCCCCAGAAAGGTAAATCAACTAAACGTCAAACACTCACCATCTGATAGAACTTCGTACGACTCTGAGATCTCCTTGAAACGTCTGTTCGATTCCTCTGGATTATCGGGATTTTTGTCCGGGTGCCATCGTAGCGCTAGTTTTTTATATCTAAAATAAATAAAAAATACCGAATCATTTGCATTGTGTTCTTACTCGGGCGCCGAAGAAAGCGTTGGTTAAAACTTACGCTTTTTTGATTTCTGCCTCTGTGGCGTTCCGGGGAACTTCTAACACTTTGTAGTAGTCTACCATTTTGAATGTGTCTTTGTGTGAGTGTTTGTTTGTTTCGGTGTTTGATGTCAGCGAAGAATTAGTTTCCTAGATTTTTATTTTCTGCTGAATACACGACCGCTACTTGGCCTTGCTCTTCCAACTGATCAATCTATATCCTATAAATATCAGTAGAACTGGATTTGTTTTCCTAAACGAGATCAATCATTGTGAATTTGCTTGGATGTTGCTGTATCAGCAGCTGATGTTTCACTGGGGACAATTTGATAAGCTCCGGTTGATTTTTTGCTTCAAAATCTGAAATGAAAGGTAAATGAAAATTCCTGTTAAATTCGGTTCGTCATATGTTTGCTACGATCGAAATGTTTGAGCAGCACGAGAAACAGCATTGATATTTCAATCCTGCCTGCACTGATTTAAAATCAGAATAATTATTTATGACTTGCAGATCAGGTTCTTGACCCCGAAATGTAACGCATTTGTCGCATGAAATCGTTCCACTCATTACCCAGAGAAATCGCTTGCAAAACTCATTCTATTCCACTTCTGCCAGACCGACTGCTGCCTGTATACGTACGTACAAGGCAATCGTGACTCATCAGCTGTGAAGCTAATCGTGGGTGATTTCCACGTAATTCGAAAACTTTACGTTCGAATAAACCACCTCATCGGATCGAGTTTCTTCCCAGCTGCTTTCAAACAAGCAGTGGAACAATGTCGTCTTTCATATTATTCCTACGCACCGTCGAAAATCCGGCAAAGCAAATCCCATCATCTCACCGATCCGAGCCGACACGACAACGCGATCCGCACTCTTTATGACTCTATATCACAAAACAACTTGTTGCTGCTGTTGTAAGAGATTAAAACAAACACTGGTTCTGTTTCGGAATGAGTCTCGTAAATCTCTCACTAGGTCAACCTTGGAGAACACACATGGCTGCAGTCCGGCGACCAGGCAGCCTTACACCAAGATGCACATACAGAATTATGCACGAATTTTGAAGCTCACCTTGAAAGACACTCGAGTTTCGATCACAGCGATCCTGAAAGGCTTTTAGGTGCGATGACAGAATCCGTTGTACTAAGTGACTTAATTCTTTTTGTTTCTTCTCGGACGGTTCAATCGGATTCGGAAAGTGAGCCGCTGAACCGGCACGACAACGGGGAGAGGACCTAAAATACACACGCACAACAAAAACAAAACAAATCTATGGCGCACACGCGGGCGCGATTGTGATTAGAGTAGTATATAGCGATGCGATGGCGCGAACTCTCGTGTGGTCTACATCGAATCAACTGACTGAAGTCGTTTGACAACGAGCGACGAACGACGTCCTCTCCGACCGATCTTCGTCGTCTGCACCACACACTCAACAGAGTGTAGGAATGGATCAACACGGCTACCAACAAGGGTGACGTATAGCGGAGTGTACCTGTGAGCGGGTACCGGTATAATATAAAGCACTCTAGTAAAAGTATGGACGACTGTCACTACAAAACTGAAAAAAGTTGTTCCAATCGAGTAAAGTCAGTCAATATAATGAGTCACGCCAAGAGAAAAACAGTTGAACTCGCATCACGGTTTTCGAAAGATTCCCTTTCTTTTAACTTGGTAACAGAGGACTTCTATATCAACTTCAAATGACTTCTAGCGAGAAAAATAATAGCGGCTGTAGTGAATCATTATATCAGTGATTTTGTCAAATTATCTTAACAAAAAATAGTAGAAATTCTAATTACTGATCATTACCAAACGTATCCCATCCCTAATAAAAATTGTATGGTTAATTTGCTTAACGACGTGTTCTGGGTATCATCCAAACCATTTGTGGAATAGTTCAATGATTTGGGTTATCGTTCGTTTATGGTTATTTTTTATTAGGGATGACAATTGAATGCTCACTGCGTGTTTATTATCATTTCTTCGATTATATTTTATTGCAATACCTTTCGTGGACCTTTCATAGCATCGTAATGTTTGTTTACTTTGCATGATAGGTAGCTGGTTTGACAGTTCGATAGGTAGACTTGGCTTCACTCTTGGCGTGACTCATTATACACCGACTTTTGAAAGACGTCCATACTTTTCCTTAGAGGACTTTAGTATAATATCGTCTCTCATGGTGTTGATACTGTGGGTCGAAGTTTAAACATTTTGGTAAATGTTTTAATTTAATGGAAAAAAATATCCCAGTCATTTCAAGCTGAACATTGCATTAGGTCCTAAGTAGTATTGACAAATTCTCTTCGTCGACTTTCGCTTTGTATCCCGACCAGCGTTGCCAGACATAGAGATTTATCGATATTTGTAACGATTTTCAAACTTGATACCGATATACAGATAAGGCACTTCAGGATACCCATTCTTATTTTATTTTATACCAATTTTTTGCTTTGTCCAAGAAACCACCTTCTAGGACCACGTAGTAATCAGAAAACACCAAAATTTGGCTCTTGACAAACTGAGCAACTTTGTCTAAGACTGAAAATCTGTAGGATGCATACCCGCTAGAGGTTTTGGCTACGCTACCGGATTCACTGCCCCACTGTGGGACGAGGTGACGTCCGAGAGGATTATGTGGTTAAAATTTTAAATTTCTAGTAATCTAATAATCTAATTTAATAACCTTTAAAACAAAAATGATGAAAATAGCGAAGTTTCTTCTAACTTCACGGATATAGGGGAAATGGCTCTAATGTAGACCTATGGATCTAAGATCGGGCCCATCAATTGTATCTAGATGAACGCGTTATTGGGACGGTACTAATGGATATTTTTGGTTGCTATTGAAAATTTAGTCGATTGCTGAATTTATGTATGGGCCCAAATTAGGGACACTTATGCCGACATTACATACATTTCCCCTATCTTCTAAAGGTTTAGCATGAAAAATTAAGGACACATTGAAAACGCTGCCATTAAGGCATTTTTGAGCAATTTTTTTCTCGAAATTTCACTGAATCAAGCTAAGAGTGTATCAAATAACAGTAGGCATTGGTTGTCAGGAAACAACGTTCATTTATTTAAATCATGGCTTCACCGGAGCAAGCACGTCGCGATTCGATCCTGCACGCTCGAAACGAAAATCCCAGTCTAATCGCTTGAGAGCTAGCAAAGTTTTTGAATTTTTCGAAATCCACGGAAAACTTGGGCAGGAATTTTATACCTCGGTTAACCGGAATGTATTTCTAAAAAGTTATGGGTTGTGTCCAAAGCGGCGCGACAGCATTGTTGACGTAGAACTACGAGATTGTTTTTGATGCTCCATTCACTAATATATTAATAACAAAATAAATGGTTTAGAAATTTAATTCCAAAATTAATTCAATTATTTTTTCAAATTTTTGAAATTGGGAAGTTATTGAAAAAATCCTAAAATTAGGATTTCCTTTGGCCGCTTTCTTGTTGGCTTGACACATTCGAACGCGTTCAGCATCGGTCCGCGTATGTTTCGCAGGTTCCCCTGCTGCCTCCTGGTCTTTCACGCGCTTCCGATAATCGCGGAGATATTTAGCAGCCATGTGTTGAGACATTTTGAAGATTTTTACAGAAATTCTCATTAAACACTTGTTTCACTTCGAATATTGACTCTATTCAACGCGGAGTGTAAACACTGAAGCGCTTACTGTACCAATTGGAATTTACAGAAAATGCTGCAATGCATAATCACGATGGTGTTTCAATATGATGTCTGTGTTTGGGAAACAATCGTCAAATGAAATTTTGATTGCCTTCCTTTTTTGCAAACGCCGGCTACACAGACTCCTCCCATCATGAGTATTTTGCTATCAAGTAGCGACACTCTCCTTTTGCGTAGTTTGCCAATGTCAATACCTTGAAAGCAAAGGACAATTAAAGAGTTATTAACGAAAGATGAAGAGAATCGATCAAAATCACTTGCACCCCTGCTTCCAAGTTTGGTTACAAGATTATAACTCTGGAGAGCATTTTGAGTGGTCGTTGGGGGAATGTGGTTCTGAATATGGACAAATATGCAGATAAATTATATTCCTACTCTTTACTGTAATAAGCTTGGTGACCCTGAAAAGGGCCGTTTTGTTGCCAAAGTTGGTGATGATTTAACCTCCGAAACCGTACAGAGTGCGTCTATCGCTTCAAAGCGTAGACGACATCCATGACCGCTTACAATTGGCGTGTTCAGAGTAGGTTACAGCATCACGGATCACATTTTCTAGGAACATCCATTGACACCGCCAAGGCGAACCAGACAACGGATGGCGGTTATTACGAAGAAATTTGCGATAACGCTTGGCGCCTTCTTTACCAAGACCTTTTCCTTCTTTGCCACGACCGGTCATTGTTTCTTGTTAGGTAGAAGAGTGGACTACCTAACCTGCTCACCTTCCTACTGCTGCTATTGCTGCTTCTGCTCACCACGCCGTCCGAAGCGAAAAAGACAGCAGCGCTCTTTTACATATTTTCAGGTTAAAGCAGAATGATGTGCAACCAAGTGGTACTCGATTATGACGAATGGATTTGGGAAGAACGTTTATTTCATGAAAACAGTGATCAAATTATCACTTTTTTATTAGTACATTGGACAATGCTTGACATTACCACTTTTTCAATAGTTTCTTGTTAAAAATCACCAGTCAAAAGCATTGCTATTGATGCGTAGAAATATTGCTGATCGATTGGTGATAAAATTATTGACATTAGTCCAGGGACAGCTGAGTTATTAATGTTCAAAATCTTTCATAATTTTGTTACATGTTCCATTTTCGGTATTCACAAAGTGTACCCCCATATAGAAATCACAGAGGTAGTCCTACGTCGAAATTCCCTAAAAAGTTCCTTGTTCCTTGGTAAGCAATCTGCAGTTGTGGGCTGAAAAGCGAAACTTTCGTTAATTCTAGGACCATAAACAAGCAAATTTACCAGTAAGAGTGCCTACAGAAGACACTACTGCCTTCTCTGGAGCAGCATGAGGTGGATTGCCTATTCTGGCCGGACTTGGCAAGCTGCCACTACTCAAATTCCACCAAGTGTTGGAAGTGTTGACGCCTTTGATTCCTTGTGTCTTTCCCGAAAGCTTCCGCTTCATCAGAGCCCAATATCTCTCGATTGGACGTAACTCTGGACAATTTGGTGGACTTTCGGTTTTTGGTACAATATTCACTTGATTTGCTTCGTACCACTCGATCACAGTTTTAGCATAAAGGCATGATTACATATCGGGCCAGAACAAAGGGTTTTATTTGTGGCTTTTGATGAAGGGTAGCAATCGCTTCTACAGGTGCTCTTATGGTAAATCTCCTTGTTGATGGGGCCT